ATTAATAGGTAAAAGTGACTATTAATGAGACACTTGGCTTGCCATACAGAGCTGCCTTCGTCTCTCTCCGGAACTCCTGGAGCAAACGTCAAATCAGCTGCGTTTCCCTGCGCCGCCCGGGAGAAATGCAGCTGATTTGACCATCAACGTGCATTTATTAAGGAAAAGTTCAACTGAGACACACCTTTGCTATAATGTCGAGCAAACAAATAATTGTTTTTAGGTGGTTGTCTTGTTAAATTTCGAAGAAATGCTCAGCGAGTCGTCCTCTGCACGCTCCTGCTTCTGTGTATCGGCTTTTGAAATGCAGCTGATTTGACCATCAAAGTGCATTTATTAAGGAAAAGTTCGACTGAGACACCTTTTGCTATGATTCTGAGCAAACAAATAATTGTTTTTAATTGTTAATTTTGTTAAATTCTTGTTAAAGTCCTCCCGTGCACGCTCCTGCGGCCGCCATTTGGCAGCCAATCGATTTTTGGCACAACACCGGCCCACGTTTCCGGTGCCACATAATAGATGTAAATAATAGTTGATAGATAACAGCGACTTATTTATGTATTTTTCCACTTTATTAGACATATTTGGACTGATGCGACTTATAGGATGGTGCGACGTGCACGGCAGAAAAGTATAAACTGCTGGACTGCTTTAAACAAATGTGTTCAGAGTCACTGGGTATATCAGAGATGGTTTTTGCTTTAAAGTGGGGGAAAGCATGAACCTGTAGAAACTGGATCTTGTGTCTGTGATTAAAAGCACATGGCTCTGAGGAGTAATGCAGTTAAAGGGGGGAGGGGCAAAACCGTTTGACGTGCAGGCAACAAATCCGTGATAAATGGGAAATAATGGCGCAGCAGTGTGAAGCTGATGCAACGAAAACGTTCTGTAAATGTCGTAAAAGAGGCGAGCGTGAACAGTTTCAGTGCGTGTTAGTTTCATTCTTGCAGCCGCAGCTTTGTTTCTGCTGTGCATCCTCTGAGCAGATCGGCCTTTTCTGTTTCACAGTGGACAGAATGAGCGGAGTGTGTGGGAGGGTCACGTTTCACCACCGACGCTGCATCAAAATATAACTCGTGCTCCTTTACGTCCTCTCCTGCAGTGCTCTCTGAAATAATTAGTAAAGAGCCGTGCCGGCTGCTCGTGTGAGGGTTTAGTTTGGTGAATTTAAATCTGTGCTGCTGCAGTCATCCAGGACTTGGCAACCAAAACAGAACGGTTAAGACTTAACTGGACTTCTGTTGTGCAGCTGAAGATGTTTCACTTCTCGGCCGAGGAGCTTTTTCTTTTGAAGTGTTTGGAGTGTTGTGAAAGCTCCGCGGATGAGAAGTGAAACACGTTCAGCTACAGAATAAAGTCCAGTTGTTTTTGTCTTTAACCTTGTTTTTTTTTTTTTTTTTTGATCTTTGTAAAACATGTCTGCTCAGTTAAACTAGCTTAGCTTGTGGGCGTTTTAGGGGTGCACCAATCAATGGGCAGGTGACTCAAGTCAACTGATTTCTAGCTGATTTAAAAGTTAAAAAATAAAATCAATCATTTGTGCAGTTATTCTGAAGTGTGCAACAATAGGTAAAAATGTTAATTAGCTAAAATCTAACAAAAACTATTATATTATGTACAATTATTACTTCCAGTAACTTGGTCTGGAGGATCTTATTTGTGCTTTCAGTGACAGATTAAATAAAAAATATATTTTTTGTTGAACCCTAAAGAATATTCTGATATGTCTATAAATAGCTGAAGTTATTATAAGATGGCTGTCTTTAGTAATGACTTTAAAAATTTGGGTTTGTGTATAAATTAGCAGTGAAACACAATGGTAGTTGTGTTAGCTTTTCTATGGAGGTTTTAATGTTAGGTTAGCATCTATGCTAACTACTGGTCAGCAGCCTGTGATTTACAGGGTTTTCTTTAGGCAGGAAAATGCATACATCACTTTTTATCATGTAAATAAGTTATTTTACTTTTTACAATAATATAAATGCATCAATAATCTTTTTATAATCACTTTGCAGCTCTCTGAGCGGTAACTGAATCAAATCATAAAGATTCCCACCCCTGTGGTAAATATCTTAATCAGAGCACGGTCTGATTTCAAGTCATCAAGAAACCAATTTAAAAAATGAATGTTGTTTATTTTAGTTTTTGAATACAAATCGGGATCAGCAAAAATTCAAATCCTCTGCTCCAAATTAAGCTGTGAAAGCTGATCTGTGCGTTTCAGTAATTTACCTACAAACAAAAGGCTGTAAATGACAAATCTCTAAGCAGCATTGGGTCCACAGGGAAGCATATAATAACTAGAGGCATTGCATTTCCTGTGGAAATGGAGTGTGAATGCTTACTGGTGAAGAACTTGCTGAAAACAGCTGAAATTAGCTACAAAAAAAAAAAAATCCTGAAATGGAACTGAAATGGACGATCAAGCCCAAGTTAGCAGAAGAAAGGAGAAATAACACATATTTACTGAATTGGGTTTAAATAAGCAGAAATTACCACAAAAATTAGGAAATTAACTAAAAAAATATGAAATTAGCAAAATAACGACAACAAAGGAAAAAAAAACCAGCTGAAAAGTAACTGAAAAGGCAGAAAGAAGCTTAAACTACCAGAAGAAAGTGGAAAGAGCTGAAATGAGCTAAAAAAAATGGAATTAGCTGAAAAAGCTAAATTTAGCACAAGCTGAAAGGAGCATAACAAGCTGAAAGGAGCAGAAATAAGTGAATTAGTCTGAAAGTAGCAGAAATTAACATGAAAGACTTGAAATGATCTTAAAACAGCTGAAATTTTCTTTAAAAAATGCTATAAAAAAAGTCATGGTAGCTGAAAAGGTGGTGCAAGCTTAAATTAACAGAATAAAGCAGAAAGAACATGTTTTCTAAAAGAAGCAGAAATTAGCACAAAAAAGTGGAAATTGGAAAAAAAAAACCAGCTGAAAAGTAGCTAAAAAGGCAGAAAGAAGCTGACTTTACAAGGAGGAAGTGGAGCGAGAGCACAGTTTTGCTGAATTAGAGTGAAAAAAGTTGAAGTGAGTGCAAAACAATGTGGAATTAGCTGACAAAGTTTAAACAGCTACGGGTAGAAGCTAAAATAGTAGAAAAGGCTGAAACTTACAGAAATCAGCTGAAAGGAGCATAACAAGCTGAACTTAGCATAAAGAAGTCAGAAGAAGCACACAAATGTTGTATTTAGCAGGAAGACTCTGAAAGGAGCACAAAACAGCTGAAAAAACAGCTGAAAGTAGCTAAACAAAAGATTAAATTTGCACAAGGAAGCTGAAAGAAGCTGAAGCAGAACAAAATGTGAAATGTGCAGTAGAAGGTTGTAAAATGAGCTCAATTCATTTCCTATGAGGAAAAAATGATAGAAAAGGCTAAATATTTCAAAAAGCTAAAGTTGCACCAAAAGTCATAGCAGGATTGTCCTGAAAGAGCTGAACGTTTTGATGATTTGTTGAGGTATCTTGAAAACTGCGGGACGAGAGTCGCGCCGAATCACGTACGTAAGAAAACTGGATCACAGTAGAGCGACTGCTTCATGTCACACAGTAAGTAATCGAAGGATGCGTGTCTTTTAGCTCCAATGAGTGTGAAAGAAGTCCTTCAAAGCCTGGTGGATGACAACATGGTGGACTGTGAAAGAGTGGGAACGTCCAACTACTACTGGGCTTTTCCCAGCAAGGCCTTCCACCTTCGAAAGCACAAACTGGAGGAGCTACAGAAGCAGGTGAGAGCAGTCTCGTTTGATTAGCGTCTGCGGAACAGATCGTACGGCACTCTGCTGTAACGTGCTGCATTTCCTCTTTTTGTCTAGTAAAAACTAAACGGGGCGAAGGGAGACGACTCGGTTTATTTTCACAGAACGCCATTTCTGCTTCTGCGTTTCTGGTTGAAGACATTTCAAACTGTAGTTTTCAACGAGGAAGTCAGATTGCGATGAGCACGGGCTAGAAAACAAACTCTGCCAAGAGATGTATAAAAAAAAAACCCAAACAAACAGAAAATGCAAGTTGAACTTTTATTGTTGTGCGTCTTGTTTTGTAACTTTCTGAGCAGTTTGTTTGTTTGTTTACATTCTTGCCATTTAAAAGCAAAAGTCAAATCACAGATAAACAGGTTGAGTTGAAGACATCTCGCATACGTGTGAAGTTCGCAGTGCTTCTATTCGACTGTCGTGGTTTGTGATGACCTACTTCCTTCTCCTGTCATGTGACGGTGTTAGGGTGGCGAGTCCTCTCCAGATGTCTGGGCCAGATGTTGAGGAGCAGCAGGTTGACGTTAGGCTTAATTTGTCTCCAACCAGGGAGTGGCGTTCAAACTTTTTATACTGCATGTCCATAAAAAGGCCATGACTGACCATGACCCAATCGGCTTGCCATAGCCTGCCACCTTCGTCCAGCTCGCCTGGAGCAACCGTCAAATCAGCTTCATTTCGCTGCACCGCCTCGGTGAAATGCAGCTAATTTGACTATTAAAGTGCATTTATTAAGTAAAAGTTCAACTGAGACACACCTTTACTATAATTTCGAGCAAACAAATAATAGTTTTTAAATGTTAATCTTGTTAAATTCTTGTTAAAGTCCTCACGCTCCCACGGCCGCCAATCGATTTTTGGCACAACACCGGCTGTCAGCGGTGACGCATAATTAATAGATGCGACGTATTTATGGATTTTTCCATTTTCTTAGACGTATTTGGACTGGTGTGACTTGTAGGGCGGTGCGACGTGCACGGCAGAAAATATGGTAGTATTGGCGCACTCTAGCTTTTTGAAATATTTAGTCTTCCATTTCTTTTCTCATAGAAAATGAATTGAGCTTATTTTCCATCCTTCAAATCTTTAGATCTGGTTCAGCTTCTTTCAGCTTCCTTCTGCAAATTTAAACTTTTTTTCAGCTACTTTCAGCTAATTTAAGCTGGGGGTTTTTTTCAGCTGTTTTGTGCTCCTTTCAGGTTCTTTCTGCTAACTACGTTTTTGAGCTTCTTCTAACTGCTCTCTGCTAATTTCATCTTGTTATGCCCCTTCCATCTTTTTTCAGCTACTTTCATTTTTCTGTAATTTCAGCTACTGTTCAGCTGTTTTTATGCTAATTTTAGCTTTTTCAGCTAATCCCACCTTCTTTTTTTTAGCTCATTTCAGCTCTTTTCGCTTCCTTGTAGTTTAAGCTTCTTTCTGCCTTTTCAGCTACTTTCAGCTATTTTTTGTTGTTGCTAATTTCAGCTTTTTTAGACGATTTTCTTAATTTTTGTGCTTATTTCTGCTTATTTAAACCTAATTCAGCAAATCTATGTTCTTTCTTCTGCTAATGGTGGCTTGTTTTTTCACTTGGCTACATTTCAGCTGTTTTCCAGCAAGTTCTTCTGCTATAAGCATTTACAATGCGTTTTTGCAGGAAATGCAATTCCTCTAGTTATTTTATTACTGTTGTATAGTTGGTGTATATCCCTTTTTATTTAATTTCATCTAATCTCTCATTTAATCTCGTCTGATATAATTTTGACTTCGTGTAATTTCTTCTCATTTTATCATATTTTTCATGCATTTTTAATTTACATACCCGTTTCATTTTATTTCATGTTTCTTTAGTTCATGTGATCTCTCCTCTTATTTATTTGAATCAAATCTCACGTTGTTATATCTCATTTAATTTTATTTATTTACTGCCATTTCACATATAATTTCCTCTAATGTTCTCATTTAAATCTAGTCTTTTGTAATTTAGTTTAATTTGATTGTATCTTTCATCTCATTTGAACTCTTCTCATTTAATCTCATCAGTTTCTTTTGTGTGTGAGACTTTGTTCATTTGTCCTATTAATGATCTTAATTATAATTAATTATGGCGTCGCACAGTGCAGTGGAAGAAGCTCTGTCAAGTGGCAGCGTGTACGCGCTTGAATCGAACATTTGAAAAGATTTTCATTGGCTCTGAATGACGCTAGGATTTATTATCATTGCACTTAAAAGTTAAGAGTGATCAGTTTGAGCTATTTGTAATTTGTATGTTTTAGCATTTCTTTTAATCTTTTTATGTTCTGACTAGTGTCGTGCACGCTGGACATTTTACAAATAATTTAATGTCACAAATTAATCAGAGCTTTAGCTGCCTCCAGTCTATTAATGAATTGTTTTGTTTATTTAAGATTTCTGATGCAAATCAGCGGAAAGCATCGGTGCAGAAATCGGTTGATAAGGCAAAAGTGGGACGTCAAGATACGGTAAGGACACATTTATATCGTCACATAAAAATGGAAATGTTAAATTTCCGCGGTAACAAATTTAAATCGGAAAAAGTTTACAGAAAAGGTGTGTGTGTGTGTGTGTGTGTGTAGGAAGAAAGAAGCTGTCTAATGAAGGAGCTGCAGGCTCTCAGAGAGGAGCGATCACAGCTGCAGGCTGAGCTGGAAAAGTACCGTGACTGTGACCCAGAAGTCATCGAGGAAATGAGTGAGTACAAATAAAAACCTCGCCGAGCTGAAAAACTGACCTTTTATTGAAGGTCTCGTTTCAGTGCCTCATTCAGTCCAATAATTTCCAGTCACTGACTTGGAAGAATTCTCATTTCCTACTCGGTGAAAAACAAACATGGCCGTTTTTAACGACCCCTTTTACGTGAGCACTGTCATTTTAAAACACTTGCGATCATCTCGTTTTGTGATGTTTTTAAGCTGATAATCACGACAACGCAGCGGATTGACACCACACAGGTGATTGGCAGCAAGTAGATGAATACAACAGTAGGTGGTTGGTCATAAACTTATGGCTCATCGCTGTATTGTCCGCCTGATTATAAAGAAGACAAATGCCTGTCTTAGTTCACAGTTAGCTAGTAGCTGCCAGCATAATTGGGTGCAGCTGATTCTGCAGCTGAACAAGCGCTCCGTCTGTTTAGCAGCAGTCTGTCAGCTGACCGCTCTCAGAAACACCTTTTGTCTGTTATGAATATCAGCACGAACCATAAAGCAGTTAAATATTGATAGCAGACAAGAAATGTGCACAGTTCAAGGCTTCATTGTGTAAAGTCGGTCTTAAAACTTGGATGCAAGTTTCAAATTAACTTTGTAACCTCAGAATTTACAAGGTTTAGCTTTTTTTTTTTTTTTTTTTATAACGCAAAGTCGATGTCATGGGACTTAAATTTTCTGCTGGCTCTTCCGTACATCTTTACCGTGCCCACAGAGCGCAGAGAGCTTTAAGTAGTGTTGTAAAAATCCTGCGCCGCCTCGTGTTTGTGTTGCGGCTCACCTGCAGAAGAGTCTTCTTGTTGCATCCATGTGACATGTGGTGTAATAAAAGCATCCACTCTGTTTGCTCACACCTCCCACTGTTACAGCAGACCTGCGTTTAGCCTCCACGCAGCTCTGCTGTGTTTTTCCACTCTATTTTGAAGGCACTCGCTTCTCCACTAAACATATGAGCATGGAAATGATGGATACTCTATTATTGGATTCTCTCGAGGGTGTTCATAGTCTACAGGTCACCTTTCTTAGCAAAAAGCTGAATTAACTTTTGCATGACCTCCAAAGTCTTTTTACCGTGTGCAAGAATGTTACCGAGGTTTATTCATGATTGCAGGCATTTGTTTATGTGCAGCTCTCTGTTCTAGGCCTGTCACGATAACACATTTTGCTGGACGATTAATTGTCTCAGAAGATATTGCGATAAACGATAATATTCTTTGAAATTTGACAATAATTAGTAATTATTGTCAAATTTAAGAAGAAATGTTGATTTGTTTTGAGTGTAGTACTTTTTTTGACCACCGGATGGCAATATAAGACAGTTTGAAGTGAAGGATGGATAGTGAGGGAGCGAGCAGCGTGTCTCTTTAAGAAAAATGGGAGGGAGGCCCCTTGACGTGACATGGGCTGTCTCTCTTTCCTTTATTCTCAAAATGGCGGACTCTCGGTGTAGTTTGAGCTCTTTAGCATAACATTTTTCACACAAAGCTTTTGATAAAAAAATCAATAAACAAGTTCTCAGCGAGTTTTTACACGAAGGCACGGGTTTCAACTGTGAATTTTGGAGCTTCGACAAGACGGAGGTTTTTTCCTGAGGTTGGCCTGTTAGCTTAGCTCGTAGCTTAGCTGCTTTTAACGATCCAAAAATGAGATTTTGGACGGTTAAAATGGATTTTAAAGCGAAAGGGAGGGGTCAGTGACGAGCACCGGAGTTTATCTTTTTGTCATCCAGTGTCTTCAGTAGAAAGAGAGACACACAAAGAAACGATAAAGCCGATAAATGAAAATGAGATTGATAATTTTCATTTATAATGCGATTAATTGATTTATTGTTTATCGCGACAGGACTCCTCCCACCACATCATTTCAGTCTGATGAGATCTGCACTTTAACTGGACCCTCACAGTACTTTGATTCTTTGATTTTTCTGCCATCCTAGTGTAACTTGGTTGTGTTTGGAGTCACTGAATGAACAAGTTTCAGCACAGCTTCCTTTGTCAGGCAGATGTTCTCACATTTGTGTCTTGAAGACTTTGGTGGACAGAGGAGTTCATGGTGACTGCACGGTGTCCTTATTGTTTAGCTGCAACCTCCACTAGCGTACTTGACAACTAATGGGAGCTGTACTAATATGTCTAATTTACCAGAACCACCTTCTTCCACCTGCGTAATATCGCTACATTTAGAAACATCTTATCTAAAAATGATGCAGAAAACCTGGTTCATGCATTTGTCACGTCTAGACTGGACTATTGCACTGGTTTATTATCTGGGTGTCCAAATACTTCTTTAAAAATCTTCAATTTATCCAAAATGCTGCTGTCAGAGTCTTAACTGGAGTTACTGGGAGAGATAATTTCTCCCCAGTTTTAGCTTCTCTCCACTGGCTCCCTGACAAATTCAGAATATAATTTTTAAAATCATACTTCTAACCTACAAAGCCCTCAACAACCTACCTCCATCTTATATTCAAGATCTTATTGTTCCATATTTTTCTAACAGAGCACTTTGCTCTCAGACTGCAGGTTTACTTGCGGTTCCTATAGTTTTCAAGAGTAGAATGGGAGGAAGATCTTTCAGTTATCAGGCTCCTCTGTTGTGGAACCAACTTCCTGTTTCTGTCCGTGAGGCTGACACATTGTCCAGTTTTAAGACTTTCCTTTTTGATAAATCCTATAGTTAGGGTTGGCTTGTTATGCTGCTATAGGCTTAGACCCACTGGAGGACAATTTGACCTTATTTCTTAAAATAAATTTTTACAACTGAATAGTTTTCATTTGATACTATTTCTATCTTAACATGTGATTCTTGACCTGCTATTGTGTATCTGTTCCTCCTTCCTGTTCCTCTCAAACCCAGCCGGTTGAAGCAGATGGTCGCTTGTCCTGGTTCTGCTAAAGGTTTCTTCCTCACGAGGGAGTATTTTCTTTCCACTGTCGCCTTTGCTCTTGTCTGCCCAAGGGACATTGTTCCAGACATCTTGTTGTTTAAGGTACAGCTTTACAAACCTAACCTCTTTTTCAAAAGGAAAGCCAACCCTTTCTAAAAATTATACTTTAGTCTTTTTTCTAATTGTGTTATCATGAACGTTAACATTTAACATGCAAACTGAGGCCTGTTAGCCTGAAGGCTCTTTCACAAAACAGTTCTGCCACATGGCTGCAAGACGAGTCTCTCTTTAAGCTGCCTCTGGTGGCTTATAAATCACAGTCAAGCTGCCCATGTGCCACAATAATGTGCACATTTAAAGCATTCATAGTGGAATCAAAAGAGGCATAGACTGCAGATCACTGGTGTTGAAGTTGAGTGCGACATATGAAATGTGCTAGACTTTTGTAACTCCCATGGCTGGTCGGTTGCGCAGACAGTCTTTCATCTTCACATCGCACTGTGGAGCCATGAAGCTCGCTTCCTCTTTTGTATGTCAACCATAAAGTGGCTGGGTTTTTACCTCACTTGGCAGCTCAACAGAGTGACAAAGGTGGGCTGGCTTCAACACTCCCCTTTTTTCTTGCTGCCTCAATTCTTTCAGAAATAACAGCAAGACTGGCAAAAAAAAAAGTCTCAGTCCCAGCTTAAAGTGTTTGAAACAAGCTTTTAGATCATTTCTGCAGTTGAAACACTGGTTTTCTGAATAAACAAACATTCTTCATCACATGTTGACTTTAGGTCAGTTTTTGTCCTAAGCATTCTGAGAGCTGTAGATGACAGCAGGGAAGACGTACTGTATTTTACACACTATAAGTCGCTCTGGAGTATAGGTCGCATCAGTCAAAGAATACCCCACGAAGAGGAAAAAACAATACAAGTCGCTTCGGAGTATAAGTCACATTTATTTAGACATGTATTTCACCAAGTGCAAAAGCAGACAATCTGAAATGACAATAACACAAATATACCTGGGATCCTGAACAGGTTTAATTACCATAACAAGCCAACGAGTCCGACAAGCAAGGTACCGGTAAATTCACCAATCTCATTCCACATCAATGAATCCATTGAATTCTTCATCCTCTGTGTTGCTTCTGAACAACTCCGCCTTTTGGGGGCACTTTACTTGTGTTAAATTTTTCTCAGTTGTTCCTAAGCAAATAGGGGGTTAGCGGTAGAAGAACAACATATACTGCTGGTCATAAAATAAAAATATCATGAAAAAGTTGATTTATTTCAGTAATTCCATTCAAAAAGTGAAACTTGTATATTATATTCATTCATTACAGACAGACTGATATAGTTCAAATGTTTATTTCTTTTAATGTTGATGATTATAACCGGCAACTAATGAAAACGACAAATTCACTATCTCAGAAAATTTGAATATTGTGAAAAAGTTCAATAACGAAGACACCTGGTGCCACACTGTAATCGGCTAATTAACTCGATAAACACTTGCAAAGGCCTTTAAATGGTCTCAGTCTAGTTCTGTAGGCTACACAATCATGGGGAAGACTGCTGACTTGACAGTTTCCAAAAGACGACCAGTGACACCTTGCACAAGGAGGGCAAGACACAAAAGGTCATTGCAAAAGAGGCTGGCTGTTCACAGAGCTCTGTGTCCAAGCACATTAATAGAGAGGTGAAGCAGGGAAGGAAAAGATGTGGTAGAAAAGTGTACAAGCAATAGGGATAACTGCACCCTGGAGAGGATGGTGAAACAAAACCCATTCCACAATGTGGGGGAAATTCACAAAGAGTGGACTGCAGCTGGAGTCAGTGCTTCAAGAACCACCACGCACAGACATATGCAAGACATGGGTTTCAACTGTCACATTCCTTGTGTCAAGCCACTCTTGAACAAGAGACAGAATCAGAAGCATCTCACCTGGGACTGCTGCTGAGTGGTCCAAAGTTATGTTCTCTGATGAAAGTAAATTTTGCATTTCCTTTGGAAATCAAGGTCCCAGAGTCTGGAGGAAGAGAGGAGATGCACAGAATCCATGTTGCTTGAGGTCCTGTCTCAAGTTTCCACAGTCAGTGATGGTTTGGGGTGCCATGTCATCTACTGGTGTTGGTCCACTGTGTTTTCTGAGGTCCAAGGTCAATGCAGCGGTCTACCAGGAAGTTTTAGAGCACTTCCTGCTTCCTGCTTCTGACCAACTTTATGGAGATGCAGATTTCATTTTCCAACAGGACTCGACACCTGCACACAGTGCCAAAGCTACCAGTACCTGGTTTAAGGACCATGGTATCCCTGTTCTTAAATGGCCAGCAAACTCACCTGACCTTAACCTCATAGAAAATCTATGGAGTATTGTGAAGAGGAAGATGTGATACACCAGACTCAACAATTCAGACGAGCTGAAGGCCACTATCAGAGCAACCTGGGCTCATAACACCTGAGCAGAGCCACAGACTGATCGACTCCATGCCACGACGCATTGCTGCAGTAATCCAGACAAAAGGAGCAACAACTAAGTACTGAGTGCTGTACATGCTCATACTTTTCAGTTGGCCAACATTTCTAAAAATGCTTTTTTTTTATTAGTCTTAATTAATGTTCTAATTTTCTGAGATACTGAATTTGGGGTTTTCATTAGTTGTCAGAGATAATCATCAACATTAAAAGAAATAAACATTTAAAATCTATCCGTTTGTGTGTAATGAATGAATATAATATAAAAGTTTCACTTTTTAATGGAATTACTGAAATAAATCAACTTTTACATGATATTCTAATTTTATGACCAGCCCCTGTAGTTGTCAAAATCCTAGCGAGTCCTCATGTTTAGGATTGGAAATGGTAATGTTTACTCTCGTTCATGTCAGTATGAATGAACTTTGAACGTGTCAGTCAAAAATTGCGTCATGGATAGGGAAAAAAAAAACGTAAATTAATCGTTTTGAACTATAAGTTGCAGGACTGGCCAAACTGAAAAAAGTGACTTATAGTCTGGAAAATACGATAATTGTTTTATTCTACACAGACGCATGAAAGACATCTGTTTATATTAATTTCATTTGTACCGGACTTTAAAAACATAAGGTAAGAGTAATAAAAAGTTTATTTTTATTTTAAGTGAACGTCCTGTTATTACAGGAATGGGTCATGTTGCCAATGTAGTGTCATTTGCTAATGAGTGGCGTGTTTCTAATCATAAAATCACATGTCACAACTAACTTAATGTATTAGGCAGATCGTTTGAGGCAGAGGAACATGTGCTTTTACCTTGAGTCTTTGTTTTCACCCATCTGTTTCCACATGCCTGCAGGCCTCATTTTCTTCTTTTTCCCCTCACACACAAACACAGAGTTGTGTTACAGATAAGCATCTCTCAGTGGTGATTGAATTGTACTCTGAAGAGGCGTGTGCAGCTGTGTGCGGAGTCTGTCACTTCATGTTGTGTCTGCAGCAGAAATGAGTCTGATTGGACTTGTAGGAAGAAGCTGAGCTTGCATAAAAACAGTTCAAAGCATGTTAGTCTGATGTACAGTTATTATTATTATTATTTTTTAGAAATGCTATAAGGTGTGCACCTACATTACTAGTAAATGTCTCTTTGGATTGTCAGGTAACAGGTGGGATTTGTAATCAGCAAAGTTACCAATACATGTTTAGTTCTGCTGTAGTAACAGGTGAGATCAAAAACATGTAAATAACATTAACTTATCCACATTTTTAAGTGTCAACCTTTAACATGGTGATTATTAAAGGGATAGTTTAGGTCTTTTGAAGCGGGGTTTTGTGGAAACATTGATAACAACTATCTTACCTGTTGTAGATGACCTCCATTTGACTGTCCAGTAAAGACGGGTTTGAACATTTTTTGACTGAAAATCTAACCCTAAAGGAAAATTTACTTTGTTAAAATCATATCTGCTTTTGTTAAAAGAATTGATGAGTTTGACGGACTTTATTATGTATATACATTTAGTGATTATAAACTGTGTTTTACAGAAAAGTCAAACGTCGTCGCAAAAGAAGCCGTTTCCAGGTGGACGGGTAAGTTACCTTTACTTTTATTTACAGTGTGTATAAATATGGCTCCTAATATGTGACACTCTTCCCTCTTGTCTTGTTTTATAAATTCAACATTAAAAGTTTTACACTGATAGTTTGAAACGTGTTGTTAACACTTGAGAATTGAGAAAACCAATACTATTTTTTGCTCTTCTCTTTTTGAAGTTTACATACAAAATTGACTAAATTAACAGTTAGTTTTCTCTATATTTATCTCTACAATTGTAGAAAAAGAACATTCAGAATAAAAAGAAGGTACAAAAACAGTCCCTCCACCGTAGGAGCCAGTACTTTGTGTGCTTCATGACCTCAGTAGTGACCTCAGACTCAGCTGACCTTTGGTGGTAAATAAAACCAGTAAAACTGTCTTGTGTCTGTTTTGGTTGAGACTCCCTGCAGTAGGTTAAGATAAATTTAGTTGATGTATTTTTGCTTTAAAAACAATTGTCATTTCAAGACTTTGAGCTTCATATCTGGCTCGTCCATGACTTTTCTTATTTTCTTGTTGTAGACACTAGTTATAATCTAGCCTATAATAAGACTGATATTCTAACATGGTACTGATGTCACAGACAGAATTATTTTTGTTTTTTCCATTTAGACTCTTATCAACTCAAAATAGCTGAATGTCACAGGTAGTTTGGACGAAGTGGTCGCATCTTTTTTTTTTTTTATTAATTATTATGATTGTGCTAGTTACAGCTGGCTTTGGAAAAACAGCCATACTGTTAAAATATCTTTAGCTGAAGTTGGTTTACCATAATACTTGGACTACAGAATGCATCTGTTTCTAAGCTGCACATACTAAATATAAGATCAATCATAATGTTGACATAAATAAGACGATCGGGATCTGTGCCCAGCCAGCTCTGGCATAATGTGCAGCTTTCTTGTTGTAGTACAAGAATCAGCCACCGGATGGCGTTTCACAGAATATAGTTTGCTTTCAGCACGTTCAGAGTGCATGATCGTCACGAGTCTTCATGATGCTTCACTGTCTGACTCGTGGGTAAACCATTCAACCCACAGAATGAACACAAGAACTATCTAAGTATAATCACTGGACAGAACAGTGCCAAACATCTACGTAACCAGAATTATTTAAAAATGTATATACCAGTCAATTTTACCCACAATTCTTATTGAGGTCATGTGACCAGAAATCAAACGGTACCGGTAAAATACGGTAAATATTCATTAAATTCGTACCATTGATTTTTATTGGTAAACACTTTTGGTATCAGCTGCTGTTTTTAAATGTACTTCCTAAATAAATTTGATGTGATTTCTGCTCAGCAGAGCTCATATGAGAAGAAGGAAGGGGGACGAGCACCTCCCTCCCGTTGTGTCCTCCGCCCCGTTTTATGCATGCATTTAAAGATGAGCTTAAGTGAGATACGGGTGTTTAAACACAGTTACCGTACACAGAAAGATTTTTTTTTAAACTTTTATTTAAATATGTATTGGCTTGACTGACTGCTTCAAAAATAAATCTGACTTGCCTTCTGCTCCGCTGAGCTCTCATGACGGAAGGGGAGGGTGGGAAGAGCCCCACCCGTTCGTTGTCTCCTCTCCGTGTTCCGATGTGAACTTAAAATGAGATCCCGGTATTGAAACGCATATTTACCAACACAGAAAGATGTCCCACAGACAGAATTTTTAAACTTTAGTTAAAACGTGTACCAGACTTGACTGCTTTGTGTCTCCTATGCCCGACCATCGACTTGTTGATGCAAAGCTTACTGGCAGCAGCTTTGTTTCCTTCTTCGACAGCCAGATCGATCACTTTTAACATGAAAACTGCATCGTAAGAAATTCTTTGTGCGTTTTCCATCATCACTGAACAGATGAACAGGTCTGTGCATGAAGCGCAAAATACTGTAACGGTACGGTAACGATGTGAAGAAATGAACGCACGTCTATCTTGGGGGATGGTCCTCGAGAGTACCTCGCTGGTCATTTAGGTTAGACTTCTGGTCACATGATGACAGAGTGGGCGGAGTTATGGTTTGAGTTACTTGAGGCATTCAGCCTGTGTGACGAAAGCCAGCACCCAAGAGGGGTGGGTGCAGGGCAGCCATGTGCGCCCAGCTCTGTCAAAGGAAAAGGTTAGTCAGCGGCAGGAAGTTGCTGAGAGATGGCAGGAAGTCTGTCAAAATAAAATGTAAAAATATAAGTTATAAAAGTTATGAAAAAAATACATAAATTAGCTGCTCCTGCATATAAACTGCGGGGTACGAAGTGTGAGGAAAAAAGTAAATAGACTGTACTTATATAGCACCTTTCTATCTTATCGAGACACTCAAAGCGCTTTACACAACAATCTGTGTCCTCATTTACCCATTCACACAGCACTCTACTAGATCTATACAAAGCAAATTGAACAAATCATTCTAAAGAGACTAATCAGAGCTTTATCACATTCATACACTGATGGGACACACATCAGAGGCAATAAAGGGTTCAGTGTCTTGCCCAGAGACACTTCAGCGTGTGACTGCTGGTGGATTCGAACCCCTAACTCTTGTATTGGAGGACGACTGCCCTAACCACTCAGCCACAGCCGCCCAGTAGCAGCTTATACACCAGCACTTACGTTATAAAACTCCCTGCCCTCAGAGTTTGGAAACTGAAGTGCGACTGCTTCAAAAAGCAGAAATACTAAAGCAGAATTTTACCAAAAACTAACTAAAATTGTTTGTTTGGGACTCACTTTGATGTTAAATATTTAAATTGGTATATCCGAACCTGTCGTTTGTTAAATGAAGGAAAAAAGTTGCTCAGAAAACATGGTCAATAAGAGATATGTTTATATTAAACAGCTGTTGTGTGAGTCATTATGGGCCTTGAAAAATTTAAAACAAAATTGCGTTTAATATGTCAGTGAAAATGTTGTGCAGTTACGCTGGTTTTGTGGCTGTTGCTCTTGCTTGTGCGTTAAAGCACACAATTACTTTTCATATCAAAAATATCAATTTCATTTAGCACTGGAACACCATAAGATATCCCAACGAAAGCAAAGGTCCATAAAAATTCATGCGGTCTGGATAAATTTGTCGGAGGATTTTTATTTGCCAAGAATCGTTTCGGTTGTGTCGTTTTTGTCTTTTTATCTTCGAGCGCCTCACATTCTTCATGGTTCTTATTAAGACCCCTGATTGTCCAAACTGTTTGCAGGTGCGTTTGATACAAAGTGGTGGTAAATGTTTGTTTGTCTTCAGGAAGTAATCAGATAATGAGGCCAAAACTCAGCATTCACTAAATGAAAAGATTAGCTTGAGAGAAACGGAACAGATGGTTTTATCTAACGAGCCAGAGCTATTCCTCTGTTTACCTCCTGTCAGTTCAAGATTTATCATCGTCTTATCGGATTAAAAAATCTTATATATTTTTGTTTTCAGACAATGTTTTTGCCATCAAGTCCTGGACAAAGAAGAAGTTTTCTTTTGACGATTGCCGCATTAATAAAGCCTTCGGCATCCCTGAGGACTTTGACTACATGGACTGAGTCAAACATTTTCACTGAAACAGTTGCGTTTTGTAAACCACTTTTATGTTCTCTGCGTTTCTAGAACCTGTTCTTAGCATTCGAGTGAAAAGAAATGTTCCAGGGTTCTTTTTTTTTTTCAGCCCAGAATGATATATTGGGGATTTTGATGCACCGGATGGACTCTGTCAGCAGAGACGTTTCTTGGGTGCAACCAGAGAAGAGGAGCCAACCATTAAAACCATTAATGACTGTGTGTGGGGGGGGGAGGTTCTGGGATAAACACAAGTGCGCAGCCGGACTTTTTGGACACCTGTTTACATGAAAACTGAGAGCTCCAAGCTGATGATGGAAAGGAAGCAGCACTCTGCATCTGTATTTCTAACGGCTGCATTTGTCTTGAACCGGTGGTTTGGGGATCAAATGCAGCTCTTTTCTCTATATTTACCTTTTTGATATGTCAAAATGGGACAAATTAGGAGAATGTAATATATCAAGTTATGTTTGTAATGTTTTTTTTTTTTTTTTTACTTTTTAAGTATACTAATTAATTCAAATAAAATGAGACAAGTTAAAGTGGTTTGTCAGTTAGGTTACTTTGCACATTATGCGTGTTTTGCCTCAAGCGCCTCAATTTTTGTGTTTCACTTCTTGACAAATTGCCCCTGGGTTGTTGCAACATCTGCATTTCTTTCCTCGTGGCTGCTGCACACTCGCTCTATATACCAGAAAAGGAACTCTGTTGCCCTCTTTCTTTTTTTTTTTTCTTTCTCCTTTTAAGTTAAAACCAATGCAAACCCAATTTTGGTGTTTTGCGTTTATTCATTTAACCTAGTTCATGTGTGTCCAACGTGTGGTTCGAGGGCCATTTGCGGCCCTTAGAGTGATTTTGTGTGGCTCACAGCTGCAGTTCAAGAATGGTATCATTTTGTGCAGCGGGCTTTGAGGTCAATATAGACTTTGTGCAAATTAGTTGGTAATCTTTTTTTTATATAACGTTTATGTTTAACAGCAAAACAGATGGAAAAACAATGAACAATATTAAAACCTTTGGCTCAAATCTTTTTATTTTCACTTCATGGTACAAAGCACCAAAAACCTTTACTGATTTCTACCAGAAAGGAGACTTTTGAATAATGATTTATAAAACTTATCTAAATATTGCAGTTGATAAAATAATTAAGTGTGGACATTTTTAACTGAATATAACGTGGCATCATCTACATACGAGTTGATCAACTTTATCAAACCTATGAATCTGTTGTAGGGACTGACAGCTGGACGATTTTCAGAACTTTGATCAGCTTTTTGTGCCGTCCATGGTCAAAAATACTTATTGACCCCCTTTTAAAGGAACACTTACCGTTTTTTCTGGCATATAAGTCACACCGGAGTATAAGTCTCATTTATTATGCATCACCACTGACCCGTCGCGTTTATTATGCATTTATTTAATTGTCAAAACCGCTTCATTTTGCCTGGGTGTCACAGAGCCATCCATCGCAGCTGTACCTGCTAGCTCTCCAGCGTTCCTCCGCCTGCACCAGCTGAGTGAAGCGAGCGGGCACGGGAGGACTCACTGTTACAGTTCTTCAAAATTTAAAGCATCAGTCAAAAATTGCGTTATGAATATGGAAAAGTATATAAGTGGCTTCGACGTACAAGTCGCAGGACTGACAAATTTATGCACAAAAACTGATTTCTACGCCGGAAAACACAGTACACATTACGCTTTTGTTGCTGAGAACAGACTAAAATGAACTTTCCAAACACAAGAAAACAACAAACATAGACCCAACAAATCAATCAAATCATTTTAATAAAAAAATATAAGCTTAGTGTTTGAGGCTTTTAATGTTTTGGATCTACAACAATTTAAAACTTTCTCCACTAAAATGAGTAAACTTTTGTCCTTTTTCCAAAATATTGTTCACGTAGAGTTAAATTCACATTTTTGTGGCCCACGAGTCCTTTCATCTGGATAGTTCTGGCCTACGTATGAAAGCGTTTGGACACCCCTGACCTAATTGACGTGTATTCGTTGGCTGATGTAAATTTCACACGTTCTGTGTGCAGGCGGCACAGGGATGTGACGGTTAATGCCGTCTCCACAGCAGTAAGCTTATCTGGTTTGATTGTCCGCATTACATGGTGTTCTGTGAGGAGTGTGTACTTTTTACCACATGCCTACATAACTGTTTTTTTCCCTGGGTACTATGGGTTCTTCCCACGTAAAAAAACAAACAAAACATGCAAGTCGGGTAAATTTTGTGACCTCAAATTAAACTATCTTTGTGGTGGACCTGTGATGTTCTGGGTGTAAGCTGTCTCTCGTCTGATAACAGACCCTCCCCATGACACACTTATCTTTACCAGAATGATATGCAGGCATAATTTTGTGACCTTATAGCACAACTTTTATGTTTTCTGGTGCAGTTTAGAATAAAAAAAACACCATTTGTCACAGCTAATAGTGGTTCTAGTATGTTGACTACAGTAATACGAATGCAGCGCATTAGCAGTTTAAAAAGCCCAGACGCAATCTGAAAGCAATTCGACACACCCCACTTCTGTGAGGTGTTCATGCATATACCTGCCCAACCTGTCCTGTGATTAACACAGCTGGCATGTTGTATCTCAACACTTTCATAGAAGGTGTAGTTTCACCAACTTAACACCATCACATGCAGCCTGGTTTGAAAACCTAAAGAGAACGACACACTGACTTGAACTCCACCTCAATTACTGATGCACGCACAAAAGCACTTGTTCCTCCCTGAAATGTGCAGCAATTGTGATATAAAGTCTTATTGGATTGTTTCGGCTTATTCTCATGAGAAAAATTGAAAATTTAGCGGTGAATAATATCCTAATAGTTAAGTTTTTGTGATATTTTGGTGACTTTTAAGAAAATAGTATTGCTTAAGGCTCAAACCAATCAGCGTTGCCTAAATATCTGTTTTGGTGTTAGGTTTCACAAGCTAGAAAAGCTGACTAGCTTATGCAGATTTGACTCAAGGTGTCTGAGTAATTAGTGAAAGAGAAGTTCAAAAGTGTAGAGAGGAAGTACATGAACATTTGCAAATATACTGTATGTAGCTCGAGTAGATGCATTTTGCCAAGGCGCAAACTTTCATCATGATCACTGAAGTAAACAGGAGCCGTGTTAAATTAAATCCAGAGAAAACCTCAATTAATCATCAACTAGTAAACAATGAGGAAGCTAATTATTATTGTGCACTTTCTTGTGACACACTGCTGGATTATTATAAGCTATAAAATGTCTAGAAAAGTTAATAAAAGTGAGTGTTTATTCCTGCGAAATAATGAGGTATACCGAGAAAATGGAGTTCTAACAAACTCATACTTTGAGTATATCCAAATCAATACCACTTCCCACTTGTAGATGACGACTAATTCAAGAAGAGGATGTGCAGTGCTGGAAGGATTTACATACAATGTTTTTCTGGTAAAATGCATGTATCAAAAGGGAAAAGTAAAAGTGTGGATGTTTTTATATTATTACTGTGTATTGCAATATTTCTGTTTTTATTATTATTATTCATTTTTTAAAACAAAATTCTATATACAATAAGAAATATAATCACAATTAAAATGAAAGGCAGCAGAAAAAAGAAGAAATCTTATCTGCCCCTCTTTTTAAACCAAAAAAATTAATTCAAACAACAATAATCTTCAATTAAAGCAATAGTTGAGACCATTTGAAGTGGAGACTCTGTGAAAGGTTGTGTACTACCTGTTGTAGATGGCTCTTTGAACACACTCGGATTAGAGTCATAAAGTTTAATAATTCTGACTGAATCGACGAGCTGATAGCTTGACTGGATGGGGTGGGCTAAGACTTGAACCCTGTTTACACGACAACGATCCAATGAAAACAGATTTTTTTTTTCTCATTTCTATTAACACATTTACATGAAAACGTTCTAATTACAATCTGCACAGCATAGATGTGGAAAAGGTGTAATTCCCTCACCACGCCACTAGTTGGTGCTGTTATTTGAAACTCTTACGTGTGCATGCGTTAGAACTTTTTTTTTTTTTAACGTTTCTCTCACGAGGAAACCGCCATTACAAAATACGGCATTATTGATAATTTCTTCTGTGGATTGTAGGAAGCCGTTATGTTTTGCGTCATACTGCGCAAGCGCCAGGGATTCCCTGACAGAAAAGATCTATTTTTTTCTGTTTACACGACAACGGACACCGGAACGTTTTTGAACCATTGCACTCTGGAACCCGTTATCAAATTGTGCCATTGTTTGAGAAAATGTTATCTATTTTCATGTAAATGAACAGTACAAACGCAACGAAACGCTTCCATTTTCACCAGAAACCGTTTTTGTGTAAACACGGCCTTAATTAGATTGCTGCCATCTTAAAATACTGTATCTTCAGTCTCAAAACCTTTAATGGTTTATGTAAACGCAACGTTCTAAACCTTTACGCTGCTGTCTGTTTTTGCATTACATGGTTTATTTACGTAGAATTTTATTGATATTTGCAAGTGCATATAACAGCAACGCTAGCTGTAGCACTTTTAGTGCAGCTTCGGATTAAAAAACAATTACATAGTTATCTGAGGTGTAAAGATTTATAAAATAGTGAACGTATGAAGCATTTTGAATATTTTGGGACTGGAGTTCATTTTAAAATGGCAGAAATTCCACTTTAGATTTGGCCCTGCTCAGACTACCGTAGTTGGCACACCATTCTAGTCAGAGTTAAACAATATTTTTTAAAGCTGTTTATAACATGTAAAATATTTCAAAACCTAAAGCTAGTATCTCACTGGGCTGCAACTGGCGACTAGTTTGCAAACGAGGGAGTCTGCAAAATGTTTCCTAGGAGTTAACAATATATCTGCATTAATCACAGTTCACATTTTTCAGCTTGAATTTTGAACGTATTCAAAACATTTCCCTCAAAATAGTCATCACAAGTGTCTCCATCTTGTCTCAAGGCCTTCCCAGTTGTGTCATGTTTGCCTCCAGCCCCTTTTCAGATTTGCCGTCGTCATATTAAACTTGTTTTGACCACTTTTTCAAAAACTCATTTCCAGAGCGCTAACATCTGGAAAGTCTCTGACAGAATACATCCAACGCAACAGTCCCAAATACCCAGATTTAAAAACTGCCAATGATGAGAGAACATGGAGTTGGACTGAGGACAGAGTGAGATGGAGGAGGATGACTCGCTGAAGAGGGAAAAGCCAAAAGAAGAAGAAAGACTGCCAATGATAATTATAGAAAAAATTGACCAAATCTGCTCATCTAAAAAAGTTAAGTCTGGTCCTCTGGACATTCAAAAAACAAAACAAACAAAAAAAAAAATTTGTTTTTTTGAATGTCCAGAGGATTCTACCTGGATTATTGAGCATGCATCAGGACAAATCTGCCTATCTTCATTTCAAAAGTGTACACGAGTAGATTCAATTTTACACAGGTGTGTCTACCAAGGCGGGTACAAGCTAGCGAGCCAAAACAAGCATGGTGTGTACTGAAGTGCAGTGCTGGACCAAGCCTCCATGGGGCCCTAAGTGAAATTTGGTTTGGGGCCCTCTTTTTCTGATAATGTGGATTACTACAATCAACAGTCAGATGATCAGATCATTCACCCACCTAACATAAACTCATTGCAACGATGACAGCCCTGTTTACATTATCCTATATATATATATATATATATATATA